AGAATTAGTGGCTACAATGAGTTCAAAAATATTCAATGTGTGTAAAAATAATACAATGAGTGTAAAAGTACTACACTAATCCTGTAAAATAAAAACAAAATATATTTTGTTAGAAATATCAAGGCATAAAATGATTGAAAGGAGTTAAGATATAATCTGATGGTTTGGTTATTAATATTACATATTCATCAGATATTTGAACTTCTATATTATTATTACCTCTAGGGGCAACATCAGCACAAGCCTTCAACATCTGACTTTTCCCCAATCCCGGATCTCCAACTATCAAAACATGACACTCGTTTCTATTTATAAAATCTGACTCTGATGTTTTTGTAGCTCCCATTAAAGCTAGAATGAGACCAGCTTTAGGACATTCTCGGACGCAAATAAGAGGGCACAAAGAATTAACCAACAATCGAAAGACATCGGGTTCTGATTTGATTGCTTGTATTGCTGCATAATCCTAAGGAAAAAATGGTGATCAAAACAGGTGTTTAGTAAATAATATATAAATACATACTCGTTCTGTGTATTCATCTTCAACTACATTTTCCCTTTGATTTTGTATAGATATGCCTTCAAGATACATTTTGTACATTGATGCTTGGTCTCGTCTTGAATGATCATCTAAAGCTCTCACCTAAAATTGTAAAAATCATATTTTAACATTCTTGTTTCAACTGCCTCAAATCAAACTATACTATACATTCCTGCTTCCGAAATTGTCGACGAAAATTTGTATCCAAACACACACACACACATTCACACACACACACACACATACATCCATTTTTCTAAGGTATGACAAAATATTCAGAAACTTCTGAAACGTAAAGATATATAAAAATTTTCATTTTTTTGTGATTACTATAATTTGCCCTACGGAAAGTTAATAATTACTTATAAATTGCTTATAACTAAAAGATGATGTTATGAATTTTACCTGCACAATTCCAGTGATAGTCACATCATCTCCTGGACAACATAAATTAACCAAGTCTGCTGTTACTTCAATATTTACATTCCTGGGTACTCTGCCTGATTCAAACTATTCAAAATATTTATTTTAGCTATGTATATAAAAGTACATTGAAAAAAATGTGATAAAATATTTAAATCATTATTTTTTTTACCTGATCTGCAGTTTTCAACTCCTGCACTTTTAAAGTTTGCCAAGCAGTTGTTCTTGTGCACGGTGTATCAAGAATTGGAATAAAATTTGTACGAATTAGACAGTTTTCTCCTACACATTTTTCTGGTTGGGCCATTACACCGGCAGGCTGAAAAAAAGAACTTTAAATAAAATATATATATATATATATATATATATATATATATTATTTATTACCTGTTTTACCATTTGCTGTGCAAAACAAGATCGACAACCAAATGTCATCCAAGTACAAAGAAGCTTTGGGTTTCCAGCACGAATTACTGTACCTTTTATAGTAACAAGCTTACCTATACACCAAATATATACATGTATTAATATACAATTGATATTATCAAAAAACTTAATGCACATACTATAACTGTGTACACGAATATTTTTCAAAGGTATTACAGGTCCGTGCCCCATCACTCTAGCCATTACCATATCCAGGTTTGATGAATCAGTGGATTCATTTTGCATCAAAAGTACCTAAATAATTTTAAAATCTTATTATCACCATGCCAAACCAAATTATATTTACCTCACCTGATGCATGGCTAGTCTTAAGCAATTCAAAGTATATTCCGGTTTATCTCTAAGATCCTCTTGAAACATAGGCCATTCTTCCATGAATACTGGATCTCCTAAAAGTGCCCTCATATGTATAGGATACCACAATAATTTCCTACATCTTTGTAGGTTATATAAAACGGCTCTTCTTGTGATATGGGATTCAGTAGCTTTGATATTTTTTACTGTCTGAGATCCAGCAGTGTAAACTAAAAATAATACATGGATGATAAATGAAGCGTCAAGGTTTCAAATACACACACATACCTTCCAGAGGAAAATATAATTTCCATCCTGGGTAAGGTCCAGGAATAACGCCCAAAGCAACTGATATTAAAGGTCGCTCTCTAGATCTTCTGACAACTTCCGGTAAATTAGCAGAATTGGTAAAAGATTGCACCTAAATAAATAATGAGAATCAAAAACTGTAAATCTGTGATGAGAGAAAACTTACAGATAATTCGTTTGACGGGGTGCTCTGTCCTGATGAACTACTTCCTCCACGTGAAAAACCACGTTTCCGGTAATTAAATCTGCCTCTATTATAACTCATTTCCTCTTATTTTGTTTAAAATATAACTTTCATAAAAGTATTATTATCAACCGTACATTTTCAAAAACCGCCATTGCGCAAACCTAGTTTTGACATTTGACATCTAGCAAAAGCAGTGCTGCCACCCATCAAACATTTCCATCAATTCCATTCACCATTCTGTTGACTCATGTCCATAACTAAATAATTTAAATAATTATTAATTGCAATTAACTCTTGCGCCATGTTAATTGAATTCTTTTCCATAACATAATATAAATAAACTCGGTTCTTTGTCCGATTCAAAAGTCAAAGATTACGTCATTGTGCGCACGCAGACCCACACAATCATTCTCAGTCGGTTCTTCAATTTACAAGAACTGCTAAAAAAACTTTTTAAAGTTCATTATTGTATATGTGTGATATATTTTTGATGTAAAAGTTGTGTACATAGTTAGTTAAATTATTTTAAATCATGTCGAGTAATTGTGTTGAAGTCACGCCCGAAAATATAGCGGCTGCCGAAAAATTCAAAGAAGAAGCTAATGAATATTTTAAAAGTAACTATACAATATTTATATATCAAACAATATATATATGTATATCACTTTATATACAATTCTTTTGCCTTTTATCAAATTTGTATCTTTATTTATTTATTTGTACATAACCTCAAACATATTGTAATTGTTTATTTTGCAGAACAAGATTACGAGCGGGCTATAGATTTATACAATAAAGCAATTGAAGCAAATCCAAATAGTGCTATTTATTACTCAAATAGAAGCATTTTGCTTCTTAGAACAGAAAGTTTTGGGTATGTATCAAATAAAAAGACCTCATAACCTTAATGATATGTCACATATTAGAATAAATATATAAAATTAAGCATTACATTTATATATTAAGTGATTGTCTTTTACATTCAAAGACTAAGAAGTAAAACATTGTATGCTACCATGGAATAGTCTTAAGTGGATTGTGCACCTAAATTTTATTAAAACTTTTACATATAGATTCACGATATATTATTGATGACTTTTATTCTATTATTTTAGTTATGCTCTTAGTGATGCATCGAAAGCGATTGACTGTGATAAGACTTATATCAAAGGTTATTATAGAAGAGCAGCTGCCCATATGTCTTTGGGCAAATTCAAGGCTGCTCTTAAGGATTTTGAATATGTACGCTAATATAAATATCTAATTTATATACACCAGAGTTTGTATTCATCATTAATGTTTTTTTTCTTTAGGTAGTAAAAGCTAGACCTAATGACAAAGATGCTAAATTGAAGTACAATGAATGTAATAAGATTGTAAAAAAATTAGCCTTTGAAAAGGCTATAGCTGTCGATAAGCCAGAAAAAAATATTGCTGATACTATTGATTTTGCTGCAATGTGTAAGTATAGATATTATTGTTCATTATCAATATATATACGAAATTTATTTATTTATTACTAGCTGACCCGGCAAACGTTGTTTTGCTAAGTAAGGTATATTCTAAACAATTTCTAGAGAATCAAAAAATTTAATACTTTTAGTGAATAAGGATGCGTTGTTTGAATGCTGTATACAATTAGGTATTATAAAAACAATAAACCCCATTAGTTTGTCTATATTTTGTCAATACAATCAAACTGCGGGACATTTTCGATGATTTTCCAAAATAAATGTTTCGATGGAAAGATTTTGTTTTAAATACGATTCCGAAACTTTACTGTAATAATAATAATGTTTAAATTTTTAATACTTTTGGTTCAAATCAATCAACAATCAAACACATACATAGCCGAATATTCCGAATGTGCAAATTATGACGCGTTAAAAGCAAACATGTCTCAATTGTCTTCCATATTGAAAAAAAAATTAATTACCGCGAGTGTAAACAAAGACAACTGTGAGGTTGAGCACTTCTTGTCCCGAATCTCCAAAACGCGGGCGAAAAATAATAATAATGTTTAAATTAATTAATGTTTAAACCGCTCATTTTCTCAAAATTTGATGAATTTTTAAAATTAATCTACTTGTTGTAAGACCGTAATATAAAACTAATCAGTATCATTTCCAACAAATATCTAATATATAATATTTTAAAACGTGGACGGAAATTTTTATTATAACCAAAAGTATTTATGGTTATATGTATATACTTATATTAAATCCAATTAATTTAATTTTTTATTATTTAATCAAATTTTTTTGTTGGATTACCGAAATCGCTTGACCTGCCTCCCACAAATTTAATCAGTTCTCCATTTTGTCTATATATGTAAATTTCTTTTAATGATATTGTAGGTTTGGAGGAATCTCCAAAATCCGGTCGAAAAATTGTACCCAAAAATCGTATATTTTATTCTATAAACAAAAATACGAAAAAAAAACTACGGAAGATAATATTATTCACGCGCGAATTTTAAAACCGTTTAACAATCATTCGTATACAACATAAGAAATTATTCTCTTTGCGTGCGTGTGTGTGTGTCCACGTAAGTTATTTAATTGCATGCAAGTTGCGACAGTGGTTCAGTTAATAATTTGAAAAGCCGTAGATAAGTGTCAATCGGTACGCAGTTGATATTTTCCAATAATAGTTCATAATTCATCATATTGTAAATTTGTGGTAATTAGTGTGTTGTAAATTCAGTGCGTTCAATCAGCATATAATCGAGATAAAATTATAAGGAGTATTGAGACAGAGTTCGTTCACTAGGAATTAAAAAGGACTGGAAGACAGGTAAGTAGTTTTTTTTTTCATTGTAAATAATAAAAAATTAAATTAATATTAGATATACGTTAGAAATAATTGTAATTTTAACATCGAATTGCTTTTAAATTTTTGAAATCGATCGACTAAACAGGCCTAATTAATATAAGCGATTGAAAATCATTGATGGAATCATACTTTTATGGTGTTTAGTGTTTTATAATTTAACTTATCATCATTATCCCTTATTGATTTTTGGTATTATATTTTTAGAATATTTACTTGGTAATAATTTATAGTTTTAGGTTATTTATTGAAAAGCAATATTAGAGGTGAGGCATATCTTATTTTTTAACTTCCCGTAGGGCAAGTTATAGTAATCGCAAAAAAATCGAAAATGAAAATTTTTGCATTTCTCGACGTTTCAAAGGTTTCTGAATATTTTGGCATACCTTAGAAAAAATGGATGTATGTGTGTGTGTGTGTGTGTGTATGTATGTATGTATGTGTGTGTATGTATGTGCGGATACAAATTTTCGTCGACGATTTCGGGAACACCGATCAACCGATTTGAATAATTCAAAGAACATTCGATTCGTATTGATAAGGAGACGTGCTGATTAGTTTTTGGCGAAGGCAGGTCTAGCCGTTCCGAAGATACGGGGCTAAAAGTGCCAAAAACGGTAACTCAGTTTTTAAGAGAACGGAGCGTCCGATTTTAATAATTCAAAAAACATTTTACTTGTATTGACAAGGTGAAGAACCGATCAAATTTTCATAGGCAGGTCTAGCGGTTTCGGAGATCTAATGAAAAAAGTAAAAAAAAATGCCATTTGGCGGTCAAAAATGATCATTAAACATATGCACATCAAATTATCAGATATTTTATAGAGATTTTAACAATAAGTATAAATTTGGTTACATTCCAATGGGTTCCGTACCAATGTTTACGCGTTGGACTGCGACGCGGCGCTTACGCTCATTGATATTTTGTCTTTATGCAGTTAAAGCAGTACGATTGCTTTGAAAAAAGTTTTAAGATCTTCCAAAATATGTCAAAATAAAAAAAAAAAATTTTAAAAAAAATATTAAAAAAAAAATATTAAATTTTTGTCCAATTTATAGGTTCTCAAAAATCTTATTTTTTCGAAGTAAAATTTTTTCAAAAATGTTAATTGTTTTTAAAAAAATAATAATTTTTGGTACGGGAAGTTCCAGCAATTTGCCTTAAGGCACGATGCCTTAATTGCCTTAAGACAGAATTTCACTTACAGCTAGTATTTATATTTACTTGGTAATAATTCACAGTTTTAGGTTATTTATTGTGAAATAATTGTATTGGAAAAGCAATATTAGAGGTGAGGCATATCAGTTATACATATAAGATACGCGATCAATATTTTATTTAATAACTTATCATATAATAATTACTTTGTACCATATCAACTTTTTACAAAAATGGATATTTTTTCGAGCACATTGACTGGTAATAATTCTGGAATTAATAATTGTTCTTTAGAATATAGTAATATCCAAAATGCATCTATGAGTATTTCAGCCGAATCCTCGAGGGAGTATAGACAATTTTCTCTAGATTTTCAGTTCGAGGATTTATTTCACATAGTCGATGGTACAGTTAAAATGAATAAATCTTATAAAGAAGCATTTTTGAAGTGTTTTAGGAAAGCTGCAGTATATCCTTGTGATTTGAACTTTCGTTATGCACGTGTGCAAAAAACTAGTGCTCATATAAAAACTTATTGCCCCAAGAATCGCAATCAAAAGGAAGTGAAGAAAGTTGGAAATTGCATGATATTTAATGTTAACATAAAATTTGATCCTGATCAAAAAATTATTGAAAAAGTTTGAATTCTGAAGGTAAAGTTAATCATGGAACAGTAACTAATTAGGTGTAGGCAACTAAGAGGAAAAGATAGAGATGATTTAAAAAAAAAAGCTGAAACATCAGAAACCACTAGCATGCCATATACAGCAGTTCCACGATATGAAAGCAGAATTTCCTGAAGCATATGATGCGTTCGGTAAAGTATACAATCTTCCTTCACAAGTTTGCTTGCGTCAAGCAAAGTGTGAAGAAAATAAGAAAAAGGACTTAGATTCCAATGACATATTAGATGTAATGCTATATCAGTTAGAACAAATTAAAAAACCTCAACATAAGCAATTTTTACGTGGCTGTTTAAACTTTGTTCCCATAATAACAAGTCATAATCCATATGGTATATTAAATAAGTATTTTCAAAATAATGAAGAAGCAGTACTTCATTTTGATGCAACGGGTAGTTTAATAA